TTTCTCCACGCTTATCTGCTTAGTTCATAAGTACTGACAGCAGATGGTAGCACTCACACATGAATTTGCCTCTCAGACAGATCTAAGATGATTGTCACTAAAAAGATCCTGGCAGGTCTGATGTTCTTTCATTTCTGAAAAAAAGAAAAAATGCATGTTAAACAAATCAGGTGGAGAGGTTTATTTTTATTCTTTGAGTCCAACACTTAATTCCCAAGGACTGCTTTCATCTCTGGATCTGGCTATCTACAGAGAAAGTAGAAAATGCAGATATTATCTCCTGATGGGATCAGTTTTAAAAGAAAGGGCCATTGCAGAGAAGTGGCTTTTGAAAAATATCATCCTAATTGTCTTCACTGGTCACATACATCAGAGCGTTTGAAACTTTCTCCCCTGCTGTGCTGGCTAGTTTTATGTCAGCTTGACACAGCTAAAGTCATCTGAGAGGAGGGAGCCTCAGTTAAGAGAATGTCTCATAAGGTCAGGCTCTAGGCAAGCCTGTAGGGCGTTTTCTTAGTGATTGATGGGGGAGGCTTGTCAGTGATGCCATCCCTGGGCTGGCGGTTCTGGATTATATAAGAAAGCATCGAGCAAACCAAAGGGAGCAAGCCAGTAAGCAGCACCCTTCCATGTCCTACATCAGCACCTGCCTCCAGGTTCCTGCCCTGGGTGAGTTCCTGTCCTGACTTCCCTCAGTGAAGGGCTGTTACCTGGAAGTGTTAAGTTACCTCCCCAAGCTGCTTTGGTCAAGGTGTTTCATCGCAGCCATGACAACTCTAACTAAGACACCTGCTTGGTCTGAACACAAATTTCTAGGCCTACAGTAGCAGCTGACTGAATGGGGCTCAGAAACACTGAGGGGTTCCCATTGGATCTCCTCCTCCGGCTTCCCTCTTTGAGAAGCCAGCATTATTGAAGGACCTGATCACCTGAAATCCATCTCGTCACATCTTTATCCCCAACCCAGAAAAAACAAAACAAACAAACAAACAAAAAAAAACTTCCTTATTTAAAACACCTGGGGCTGAAGCTGTTGCTCAGCAGTTCTGAGCACTTGTTCTTGTAGAGGACCAGGGTAGGTTCCTAACATCCACCTAATGGCTTACAACTGTCCTAGATTCCAAGGGTTCTGATGCCTTCTTCTGGTCCCCTCAGGCACTGGGAATACACATAGTGCACATACATACACACAGACAAAATGCATTAACACAGAAAATAAGCGGAAAAAGACTAATGTGAGATCACAGAACCTGCTCCTGTAGAGGAAATCAGCCATGCCTTATTATCCTGTCTAGTACCATCACAAAACTGCTAAGCTCCTAGTAAGAGAGAGTGAGGCAATATGATTGACTTCCTACGCTGCAGCCTTACACCCTATCTAATATCACCACTGATCTGCTAATCTCAGGGACCCTACCCCACCAAGCTCAGAGACACCCCCATTCCCAAAGCCCAGAGACTTCTACCCTCCAAGCTCAGGGACCCCCACCCTCTAAGCTCAGAGACCTCCCGGTGGTGATATTTTATTTGTGTTCTAACAAATAAAACTTACCTGGGGTCAGAGGACAGAGCCAGCCACTAGATTAGACATGGAGGCCAGACAATGGTGGCACACACCCTTAATCCTATCATTAGGGAGGCAGAGATCTGTCTGGATCTCTGTGAGTTCAAGGCCACACTGGGCACAGAGCCAGGTATGGTGGTGCACACCTTTAATCCCAGCACTTGAGATCTCATGTCTTTACTTGGGAAAGACACATGCCTTTAATCCCAGGAAGTAATGGCAGGAAGCAAAAAGGTATATAAGGTATGAGGACCAGGAACTAGAGGCTTTTAGGCAGTTCAGCTGAGATCCGCTCAGGGGTGAGGACTTGGAGGCTTCCAGTTTGAGGATTCGTGGAAACAGGATCGGCTGAGGAGTTGGCTGAGGAGTTGACGAGGTGAGGTTGGCTGTGGCTTGTTCTTGTTCTGTTTTCACCCCAATATCTGGCTCTGGGTTTTTTATTATAAGACCATTTAGAAATTCGTATTAACAGCTCCCCCTCCCTGGCACCCCCAACCCCCAAGCTCAGAGACCTCTATCCTTCACTGTCTGCAAACATAAAGAGTTTCTTTGTTATGCAGGTGGCTGCTGCACCTCCTACCCCAGTTTCCCCTGCTGTCCAGGGCTAGCACTAATAGAAGACCTGATTACCTGACAATATTTGGCCGAGACCACTGTATAAACTGAATTTTGTGGCTTCTGTAGCATCACCATCTCCATGAGTGGGGCTGGAGAGATGTCTCAGTGATTAAGAGCACTGGCTGCTCTTCCAGAGGAACCAAGTTTGATTCCCAGCATCCACATGTTGGCTCCCAACCCTCTAACTCCAGCTCCAGGAGATCCACTGCCCGTTGCCTCTGAAGGCGCCTCCACTCACATGCATACACAGAGACACAAACTTAACACCTAATTTAAAACAATTAAATTCTTTTCAAAACAAACAAAAAGAGGTCTCCAGGAGCTAGTGTGATGTTGTGTCTGTGATAAGACATAGAGTGGAAAGATCAAGGAGAATCAGAGTCATCCTCTACTGTAATGAGTTCAAGACCAACCTGGACTCCATGAGGGGCTCTGTGTCAGAGAGAGAGGAGGAAGAGGAGGGATATGAGAGTTAGCTGTGGTAGCCCATGCCTGTAATACCAGCACTTATAAGATAGATTCAGGAGAATCAAAAGTTCAGTCATTCTCAGTTGTATGTATATTTTGAGGCCAGCCTGGGTTACATGAGACCCAGTCTCAAAAAAAAAGTCTCCATGAAAGTAACCACTTTTTTTCTTTGTTTATTTTTTGTTTGTTTATTTGTTTTCGAGACAGGGTTTCTCTGTGTAGCCCCATAGACCAGGCTGGTCTTGAACTCACAGAGATTTGAGTGCTGGGATCAAAGGTGTGCACCACCACTGCCTGGCTAGTAACCGCATTTTTAAATTACAGATTTTTTTTCATAAAAACTGAAAATTACATAAGAATTATTGCTTGATAAATGAATAAATGAGAATGTATATTAATTCAAATCACATCAAACTCAAACAAGCAACGTTTTTCTATACAGCGTGAGCACTATTGGTTTTCAGGAGATTCACAGCTGTGTGTACAGACACAGTGTCATTAACCTAAAAGTCTGAAATCCAAAACTTTTGAACAACCACAAAAGTTTCAGATTTTGAAGCATTTTAGAGTTGGGATTTTATATGAGAAATGTTCAATCTGTAAAAGGTATGAAAATATTCCCAAACCTCCAAACGTGTGACACTTCTGGACCCAAGCATTTAGGTTCAGGGAAATAAGAATTCACTTTCAACATTTTAAAAAATTAATATTCCATCTGTCTTTGAAAAATAATTAATGATCTGGTTAATTTTCTCTAACTAAGAGAAATTAGTACAGTTTAGAAAGCATTAGATATTGAAATACATACAGTTTAACCACATGGTCAATTGAGGATATTTTTGACACATTGCCAGAAGATTCTCATGGTTAGCAACACACTTAAAGGGTCTCACAGCCAAATGGACCTTTGAACTCTAAATTCTCTTCAAACAAAACCCTTAGTAACATTGAATGATAGGAGTGCAGCTCTGGCCAGTGTTTATCCTACACAGTAACTTCCCGTGGACAGTGTTTATCCTAACACAGTAACTTCCTATGGCCAGTGTTTATCCTACACAGTAACTTCCCATGGCCAGTGTTTATCCTAACACAGTAACTTCCCGTGGCCAGTGTTTATCCTAACACAGTAACTTCCCGTGGCCAGTGTTTATCCTACACAGTAACTTCCCGTGGCCAGTGTTTATCCTACACAGTAACTTCCCGTGGCCAGTGTTCATCCTAACACAGTAACTTCCCGTGGCCAGTGTTTATCCTAACACAGTAACTTCCCGTGGCCAGTGTTTATCCTACACAGTAACTTCCCGTGGCCAGTGTTTATCCTACACAGTAACTTCCCGTGGCCAGTGTTCATCCTAACACAGTAACTTCCCGTGGCCAGTGTTCATCCTAACACAGTAACTTCCCGTGGCCAGTGTTTATCCTAACACAGTAACTTCCCGTGGCCAGTGTTTATCCTAACACAGTAACTTCCCGTGGCCAGTGTTCATCCTAACACAGTAACTTCCCGTGGACAGTGTTTATCCTAACACAGTAACTTCCCGTGGCCAGTGTTTATCCTACACAGTAACTTCCCGTGGCCAGTGTTCATCCTACACAGTAACTTCCTGTGGCGTCCACCATTCCTTCCTGTCTCCTTTGTCCTGCTACCATCATCTGTCCCACCGTAAGCCAACACTGCAATGCCATAACTCTTTCTTATATAATTTTATGTCATTTAAATTAGTGAATAAAATTAAATTATATTAAATTTATTAAATTAAATGTATTAAATCCAATCTGTGTTTTGAGACAGGATGTCACTGTGTGACCCAGGTAGCCTTGAACTTCCTTATTCTCCGCCTCAGCCTCCGAAGTGCTGAGATTACAAGCATGTGCCACCATCATGTGCCACCATCATGTGCCACCATGCCTGCCTTCACTATTACCTTCACCTTCATCACTTAGGAAGCTTTTCTTCCTTTCTCTTTTCTTTTTTTTTTCTTCTTGTGAATTTGAGTTTTCCTTTGATATTATTTACTGAAGGACCTCCTTTACTGTAGATTATAAACAGACCTTTCCAGCAAGCAGTTCTCAGTCCATTTCCTCAGAAGCATGTATTACCTTCATTCTTGAAAGTTGTTTTGCTGGATAAAGATTTTTAGTGTAAATTATAAGGGTCTCTCTGCAGACTAACCAGTAATTCTCGTATGATCATCCCTCATTTTTTAGGATTTTTTCCTTTTTTTGAAAATAGAGCCCTCACCCTCCCCCCTCCACGAAGAACTGGGCCCCTGGTTGCCCACCACCTAAGATCTGCAAGCTGCATGCCCACAAGTGCCCACTTGGACTTTTGCAAGCGGAGATAGCAGCAATGGCATCGAAATGGAGCGCTACTGCATCTTGGTATTCTCACCCAGTATATGCCAGATACTGGCGACATTATCACCATGCCATGTTTTGGCTGCGAAGCCACCAGAATGCCTACAGGAAGTCCAGGGATTCCTATTTCTCTTCCCTGTGGTTCTGTCCTCCTGGAGTTCTTCCCTGGAACTCTCTTGCTTATGGGGCTAGGCATCCTTGGAACTTTCAAGGCCAGCACACGGCCTGGCAGGAGCCTCCCTACCGTGTTCCACATCTCCAAAGCTCTGGGCAGCCTCTGTACCATAGCAGCAGAGCCCAGGCCTCCCCAAGAGAAGGTGAAGCCCCGCACGAAGAGGAAGAGATGGAGTCCGATTCAGATGACGAAGTCGAATGTGACGTGAGCAGTATGGAAATCACCGAGGAGCTCCGCCAGTACTTTGCAGAGACCGAGAGGCACCGAGAGGAGCGGCGGCGACAGCAGCAGTTACACGTGGAGCGCCTGGAAGACTATGTGAATGCCGACCACGGCCTGTACTACACCCGCCGCCGGTCAGCGGAGCCCCCATCCGAGAAGCCCGGGGAGCAGCGCCGAGCCGAGATGCAGCGCCTGTGTGGGGACAGTGCTCCCAAGATCCTGGCCATGGAGGCTGCTGTGCAGCTGAGCTTTGACAAGTACCGTGACAAAAAGCAGCCGAAATACTGGCCTGTCATTCCCCTGAAGTTCTGAGTCCTGGGCACAGGGACCCTAGGGAGTGCCTCCTGAACACAGTTCCTGGCCTTTCCCTCTTACCTTTGGAGTGTTCTCTTTGTCTCTCCTTCAGAGAAGGAGGCCTGTATGCCGACACAGTGGATGTAATCTGTCAGCCACTTAGAATTCGGTCAGCAGGAGGTGTACTGTTGCCAACACAAGGAATGCCATAAAGTGATAATTGTGTATATTGTACTGGCTCTTGATTTGCTCTCTAATAGTTCATTGAAATTCTTGCCTAGAGATACTGTCTAGTGGTTTGCGTTTGTAATTTCCTTCTTTAACCTCTGAGTGTCACAAAAGCCTGGAACCACATGTCATTCCCTTTTTTATTTTTTATTTTTTTTAGACTAGTTCTCATATAGCCCAAGCTGGCCTCAAACTCTTCAACCCTCCTGCTTCCACCCCCCCCCCCCAACTGCTAGCTTACAGGTGTGCGCCCCATTCTAGGCTCTAATCCGCATGTTCTCACTGACTGTGACCCCTGGATCCCTCCGAGAATGATGCAAGTGTACAGTAAGAAATGCCACTTGTCACTCGGCTAGCTGACAGCCTGAGTGCTCCATAAAAGGCCTGAAAGTAAATACTTTGGGCTTGGCAGGCCATGTGGTCTGTCTCAGAACTACCTAACCCTGACTTTATAGCATAAAAACAGCCATGGATACTGAGTAAACAAATGGATGTGACTCTATTCCAATAAAACTTTATTTGTAAAATTAAAAAAAAAAAAAGAAAATAGATTCCTTTCTCATACAGTATATCCTGATTATAATAGTTCCCCTCCCTCTACTCCTCCCAGTTCCTCCTCCCCTCTGGATCAACTCACTCCCTTTCTGTCTCATTAAAAAAGAACGGGTTTCTAAGATGTAATGACCAAACATGAAAAAATAAAATATAATAAGATGAAGCAAAAACTATCATATCGAAGTTGGACACTGCAACCCAGCAGGTGGACAAGTCCCAAGAGCAGGCCAAGAGTCAGAGACCCACTCGCTCTCGTAGTCAGGAGTCCCATGAGTACTCAGCTAATAGCTATAATAGATAGATACACAGAGAACTGGTGCAGACCCATGTAGGCCCAGTGTTTGCTTCTTAAGTCTCTGTGAGCTCTAACTAAAACTCCAAATACGGGCTGGAGAGATGGCTCAGAGGTTAAGAGCAGTGACTGCTCTTCCAGAGGTCCTGAGTTCAATTCCCAGCAACCACATGGTGGCTCACAGCCACCTAATGAGATCTGGCTCCCTCTTCTGGTCATACATGCTGTATACATAATAAATAAATAAATCTTTAAAAAAAAAAAAAAAAAAAAAAACTCCAAATACTATACCAAGTAGATATGGAATGGACAACCATGTCTTGTCCCTGATTTTAGTGGAATTGCTTTGAGTTTCTCTCCGTTTAATTTGGAGTTGGCCATAGGCTTGCGGTAAATTGCCTTCATTATGTTTAGGTATGTCACTTGTATCCCTGATCTCTACAAGATTTTTATCATGGAGGGGTGTTGGATTTTGTCAAAGGCCTGTTCTGCATCTAATGACATGATCATGTGGTTTTTGTCTTTGTTTGTTTGTATGGTGGATTACATTTACTGATTGTTGTATAGTAAATCATCCCTGCCTCCCTGGGATAATGCCTACTTATTCATGGTAGATGATCTTTTTGATATGTTCTTGGATTTGGTTTGCAAGTATTTTATTAAATATTTTTGCATCTGTGTTCATGGGAAATCAGTCTGTAATTCTCTTCTTTTGTGGAGACTTTATGCCGTTTGGGTATCAGGGTAACTGTGAGCTCATAAAATGAATTTAGCAAGTTCCTTCTGTTTCTGTTTTAGGAATAATTTGAAGAGTATTGGTGTTAACTCTTCTTTGAAATTCTGGTAGAATTCTGCTCTAAAACTGTCTGGCCCTGGGCTCTTTTTTGTTGGGAGACATTTAATGACTGCTTCTATTTCCTTAGGGGTCATAGGTCTATTTAAACTCTTTATCTGATCTTGATTTAACTTTGGTAAGTGATACCTATTGAAAAAAATTACCCATTTCTTTTAGATTTTTCAATTTGGTGGAGTATAGGTTTTTAAAGTGTGTCCTTATAATTCTCTGGATTTCCTCAGTGTCTGTTTTTATGCCCCCTTTTTCATTTCTGATATTGTTAATTTGGATATTCTCTCAGTCTCTTAGTGCGGATAAGGGTTTGTCTATATTGCTGATTTTCTCCAAGAACCAATTTATTGGTTCTTTGTATTGTTCTCTTGGTTTCTATTTTATTGATTTCAGCTCTCAGGTTTGATTGTTTCTTGCCATCTACTCCTCTTGGGTGTGCTTACTTCTTTTTGTTCTAGAGCTTTCAGGTATGCTGTTAAAGTTGTTAAGTATAAGATCTGTCCAATTTCTTTTTTAATGTAGGCACTTACTGCTATGAACTCAACACTTAGCACCACTTTCATTGTGGTCCATAAGTTTGTGTGTGCTAGGTATTCATTTTCACTGAATTCTAGAAAGCCTTCAATTTCTTTATTTCTGTCTTGATTCATTTTTTCATTCAGTAGAGCGTTGTTCATTTTCCATGAGTTTGTGAGCTTTCTGTTGTTTCTGTTGTTGTTCAAATCCTGCTTTAATCTGTGGTAGCCTGATAGGATGCAGGGAAGTATTTCAGTTTTCTTCTGTGTGTTGAGACTTGCTTTGTATCTGAGTATGTGGTCAGTTTTGGAGAAAATTTCATGAGGTGCTGAGAAAAAGCTATATTCTTTTGTGTTTGAGTGAAATGTTCTGTAAATATCTGTTAGTTCCATTTGATTTGTAACTTCTGTTAGCTCCAGTATTTCTGTATTTAGTTTTTGTCTGGATGACCTGTCCATGAGTGAAAGTGAGGTATTAAAGTCATCCACTATCAGTGTATGAAGATCAATATGTGATTTAAGCCTCCATGGTGTTTCCTTTAAAAACTTGGGTACATAGATGTTAATAATTTAAATGTCATCTTGGTGGATTTTTCCTTTGACGAGTACATAGAATCCTTCCCTATCTCTTTTAATTAGTTTTAGTTTGAAGTCTATTTTGTTAGATATTAAAATAGCTACATTGGTTTTCTTCTTAGGTCCATTTACTTGGAATTTTTTTTTCAAACTTTTACTCTGAGGTAATATCTATCTTTGATGGTAAGGTGTGTTTCTTGGGGGCAGCAAAAGGATGGATCCTGTTTTTGCATCTATTCTGTTAGCCTGTATCTTTTTACTGGGGAATTGAGACCACTGATGTTGAGAGATAACAGTGACCAATGGTTGTTGATTCCTCTTATTTTGTTGTTATTGTTCTTGGTGGTGGTGGTGGTGGTGGTGGTGTGTGTATGTGTGTGTATGTGTATGTGTGTGTTTGCTTCCCTTCTTTTGATTTTGCTGGTGTGAGATGATTTATTTCCTGTGTTTTCATGGGTGTAGTTAACCTTAGGTTGGAGTTTTCTTTCTAGCATCTTCTGTAGGCCTGGATTTATAGGTCGATTTTGTTTAAATTTGACTTTATCATGGAACTATGCCTGATGACATGAGGTCAAGCCCAGGACCAACTCCTGCATTGGCCTCAGATTGCCACATATGTGCGTGTGCACATGTGCTTGTGTGCAAACACACATGGAGGGAGAGGGAGAGAGAGAAATGGTGTAAAAAGGAAAGGCAGATCGTTTAATTTTTCTTCGAAGTCGTTCGGTGACAACTTGAATTGTTGCAGGAGCATCCAGTACTTGGGCAACCATTCTTTGTTCTACATCCCTGCAAGACAAATGAATTCATGACTGCAGTGCTGAGAAGTTCACAGAAAATCAATAGGTAAGAAACACCTTCAAGTCACATCGTACCCTACTCTGACTTAAAAAGTATAAATCGCCGGGCGGTGGTGGCGCACGCCTTTAATCCCAGCACTCGGGAGGCAGAGCCAGGCGGATCTCTGTGAGTTCGAGGCCAGCCTGGGCTACCAAGTGAGTTCCAGGAAAGGCGCAAAGCTACACAGAGAAACCCTGTCTCGAAAAACCAAAAAAAAAAAAAAAAAAAAAAAAAAAAAAAAGTATAAATCTATTCATGCGACTCTAAAAGCCAGGCTAAAATCAGAAATATTCTTGCTAATAGTAACAGTGAACATGTTGATTTTGGCTGTGTGCTAAGTGTCCTGAGTTTAGATGAGCATCCCAATAACTGAATACACTGTTTTACTTAGTTTTCAGACAGGAAGTCTGCTAATGCACAGAGGAGTTAGGCGTCTCTGCTAAAGTCACACAGCTAGTCTGGGGCGGGACTAGGACTTGACTCCAGGCATTTGACTTCAGCACCACTGTTCTCACTGCCACCCTCAGCCAGCTCAACAGCTGCTCAAATTCAAATGAAAGCTTTGGGCCATCATGAGGAATCAGAGGCCCCAGTTCTGTTCTGCCCTTCAACTACCTGAGTGAGAGATCCTCATTACTCTAGGATCACAAATGCAACTTATACCCTGTGGCTGGCATCAGGGTTTCTGGGATTCCAAGCAAGCCCACATCCTGGGGAAAGGCCTCATTTCTCTTCCTTTTGGCCACTCGCTGGTTCTCCGTCAGATACTATGATACAGCATTTATATTACATATGCCTCGCTTGTTTCCTAGAAATGTCAACTACATCACATCATGGCTGAGCATTGTGGGCCCAGTTGTTGGTCTGAATCTGCCTCTGAGCTATGCTAAAGCAACATTGCAGGATGAGTGATTTGTTGATGAGCAAGGTAACGAGCAAAGCCTGGGTGCATGCTTCGTTGTTAGAAAGATGATGGTGTCTCTCTTACCCTTAGCTACACCTTGGGTCTGGGGTCAGTTTGCACTGTCTTTATTGGGCTGGGTCCTGGCTAGTTCTTCAGCATTCCAGTTATTTGAGAGGTATTTACCTTGCTACAAGGGCACACACACAACCTCAGGAGTGGGTGGTTTTTATGTTATGGCCAATATTCTGGAAATAAGACTTTACTGCCCTCCTTTATTCTCTTTGCTTTTGTCTTATTCTTGTTCCCCAAGAAACTGCAGCATGGAGAACACCAAGAATATACCTGGGAAGCCTCGGTGTTTATGGAAATGGGACTGCGGTACCTCATGTCACCAAGATTTGATGCAAATTTCTTTCCTTGAGAAGAAAATGTCTGCAGACCTGTTTGGAACAGTCGTTATGTGGAAGGAACACATCACAGATTCAGATCACTGTAAAGAGCAAAAATGAATCTAATTCAGTGACATTGTAGTTCTGACATCATCAGGGCTCACACAGGTTGTTTTCCTCTAGACACGGTTCTTCTTCTGTTGTGGAGATTGATGGAGAAATATGTTTGTGTGTTAAGTTTCATATAAGATGTATGAAAATTAAAATGTAGAACTTACTTGTTTCAGAAAATTAATGTCATAAAAATAAGCCGGGCGGTGGTGGCGCACGCCTTTAATCCCAGCACTCGGGAGGCAGAGCCAGGCGGATCTCTGTGAGTTCGAGGCCAGCCTGGTCTCCAAAGCGAGTTCCAGGAAAGGCGGAAAGCTACACAGAGAAACCCTGTCTCGAAAAACCAAAAAAAAAAAAAAAAAAAAAAAAGACTTATCTTTGGAACTAGAAAATATCATCCTGAGTGAGGTAACCCAAACCCAGAAGGACAAACATGGTATGTACTCACTCATAAGTGGATACTAGATATAAAGCAAAGAACAATCAGACTGCAACCTACAGAACCAGGGAGGCTACCTAGAAGGGGGGACCCTAGGATGACTGTGGCTTATAATAAGTTTTGTTTTTACTCAATTATTGGGCAAGCCTCAATGAAATATTTCACTATTAGGATAAGAATTTATACTGTATCAAGCTGATAATAGAAAAATAAATAAATAAAAATGGGGAAAAAATAAATTAAAAAAATGACTCATCTTAAATTATTCTCCCACAGTCAAATTCAGGAGCAATGGATTATTTCTCTGTCACTCCCTCAAACTGTGTCTGTGTGTGTACATTAAAAAAAAGATACAAAATAAAGAATGTTCAAGCCAGGCCCAGTTTCTTCCTGCTACCTGCAATCCAGATGTATAACTCAGCTACCTCTCCAGCACCATGTCTGCCTACCTTCCGTCATGCTTCCCTCCATGACAAAAATGGACTAAGCCTCTGAACTGTAAGCCAGCCCCAATTAAATGATTTCCTTTATAAGAGTTGCCAACTGGGCAGTGGTAGCGCAAGCCTTTAATCCCAGCACTCAGGAGGTATAGCCAGGCTGATCTCTGTGAGTTTGAGGCCAGCCTGGGCTACCAAGTGAGTTCCAGGACAGGCACCAAAACTACACAGAGAAACCCTGTCTCAGGGGGAAAAAAAAGAGAGAGTTGCCATAGTTGAGGTGAGTGACTCTTCTCCAGCCCAGAGAGTCCTGCCTCTGGGACCTAGGCCCTGGGACACAACCAGTCCCCAGGAACCTCCACCCATCTCTGCCCCAGTTGCCAGCCAGCAGGGAAAACTCCTGAGGGCAGGATCCCACACCAAACCACCCCCACATTGGACCCAGCAGTCTACAAGACTCATGCTGTACCCCAATACCCATCCCACTGCAACAGGAGATTTCTAGACAGCTTAGTATTGACTGTTGTATGGTTATTAGTGGCCAGTCTTATGCAGATCTATAATGAAAAGGAGCAAGCTGAGAAAGGGAAAATACAAAATGTACAATTTAAGGAGAAAGGGGCACCAGGAAGTGTAATGGAGCTATCTATTATTCCCACAAGGTGAGAATAAGACCACTACCACAATTTTTGAGCCAAATTTGAAGAGAGCTTTATTAAATAACGGCCGGGATGATGGATACTGGCCAGGTCCATACTCAGGATTCCCAGAGAATGGCCACAAATTATGTTCATCAGGTGCTTATAAAGGCAAACCCACAAAGCTATGTACTTCCTGCCTTCATCCAATCAGGGGCAAGCATATACTCCAGAACCATGAGTCCAAATAAAACTGTCCCATTATGAATCAATGTCAGATGTTTTGTTACAGCAAGAAAAACAGAGCCACATGTGGCCAGAGATGGCTTTGTGAGAATGGGGTCTGTGCTAGGGTAAGGCAGTACCCCTCTGGAGAATCATGGAAGTCTGTAAGAGCATCCCAGTCCACATCTGCCAGATAAGGACTGAACTCTGAATGAGCAGAAGTAGAAAAGGGTTCATCTAAACTGCTAGGAAAGCTACATGTAAGTTTAAGGTGCCGAGCTGCACATATTCCTGCTAGGGTGAGAATCTGTGTATCTGCTTGCTGGACACTTTGCTGGTACCACTTAACATCTTCATAGCTTCTGCAAGGGAGGTTTCCCTTCACCCTCCCTAATGTGAGCAAAGATTTCTCAGCAAATTGTTTCTCAAGCCTGTCCTTGTGTGTGTGTGTGTGTGTGTGTGTGTGTGTGTGTGTGTGTGTGTGTGTTCTAAATAATCTGGAAATACTAGTTATTCTTTGCTAGCAAGCTCTGAGATGTTACCCTACTAGCTCAGGCCTAGTTAAGGTTTGGTTTTAATTTTTGTTCTTTCAGTACTGGAGATTGAACCTAGGGCCTTGCACATGCTAAGAAGCTCTTCTCAGCCTCTTTTTACTCTTTATTTTGAGACAGGGTTGCCCAGGTTGGCCTTGAACTCACTTTGTAGCCCAGGCACGTCTTGAACTCTGCTCCTCCTGTGTCAACCTCCCTAGTAGCTGGGACTCTGAGACTGTGCCACAGGCCTGACTTACCAGGAGCTTTCAGTGGTTGCTCATTGAGTGTTTGCTCCCTTGTTCATGGTGGATCATGAGTCACTGAAGGTGAGGACATTATTTGGGGGCCTGGCATGGTGTCTCATGCCAGTAATCCCAGGAATTGCCCAACAAAAATATACTCTGTATGTGAAAATAGAAAATAAAGTTGGCAAATATAGCCGGGCGGTGGTAGCGCATGCCTTTAATCCCAGCACTCGGGAGGCAGAGCCAGGCGGATCTCTGTGAAGTTCGAGGCCAGCCTGGACTACGGAGTGAGTTCCAGGAAAGGCACAAAGCTACACAGAGAAACCCTGTCTCGAAAAAACAAAACAAAAAACAAAAAACAAAAAAGTTGGCAAATACATTGAGAGAGAAAGGACATGGAGCTGGGTGGGTGGGGAAGTGCTGCGAGAGGGAAAACCATGATCAGAATATAGTGTATGAAAAACATTTTTTTTTCAATTAAAAAACAGGGCTCTTCTAGCACTCAGGAGGCAGAGACTTGTGGATCGCTGAGTCTGAGGACAGTCTGATTTATATTGCAAACTACTGGCTAGGACTACATGGTGAGATTCTGTCTGAAAAAAAAAAAAAGGCTTTGTCCCTCATCGTCTCGTGATGGATCAAGAAAGGCTCCAGTCGGCAGTGGGGATGGAGTTCTCCAGCCAGTGGGAAAAGCAGAGTCAGTCATGATCAGATCAAAATGGGGTTTTCTCATTTTTCCCCGTGGTAGTGGCAGTTGTATTCATGTTCCTGAGATGGCAGGATGTGGGGTTCTGCTCTGTAAAAGCACCCTTTTCTTAATCCCCAGTGATAGGCCAATGAGGCTTTTAAGTTGAGGGTAAATCAAGAATATGAAACTATCCTCAGATGTTTCTCACACTTGTGTCATATGGGAATGCCCCCCCACCCCCACCCCGGGGCTACATGCTAGGGAAGCCATTTACCACCACGGCTCTCAGCTGGAATTCTTTTGATATACTTTGCGTGTATTCATGTATCAATGCGTGTGTACCTGCACACGTGTGGGAGCCAAAGGGGATTGGATCCCCTGGAGCTGTGAGCTGACTGATGTGAATTCTGGAAACGTAACTCAGGGTCTCCTGCAAGAGCAATAAATGCTCTTTTGTTCTTTGAGACAGGGTTTCCCTGTGTAGCCCTGCCTGAACTGGAACTCGCTCTGCAGACCAGGCTGGCCTTGAAAGATCCGCCTGCCTCTGCCTCCGGAGTGCCCGGATTGAAGGTGCGCGCCACCACTGTCAGGCAGCAGTAAACACTCTTACCCCTGAGCCATCTCGGATTTCTCACCCACATTCTTACATGTATCACGTTCCAGTGCTGGGGGATACATGACCTGGAGAATGCCTTAGTCCGATGGGGGGGGGGGGGGGGGGCGCCGATGGCTCTGGACCATAGGATACTCGCTTTAGCTAAGGGCTGGGAAGTGGGTCTCAGGGAAGACTTTGAAGTAAAGAAACATGAGCAGACTGATAAGTGACATATCCAGTGTCCAACCAGGAGGTAGTGAGAAATGATGCCACCTGCCATGTGCTGAGAATTTTTTTTTTTTTTTTTACTTCGCGGAGAACCACCAAGAACAGCTGAAGGGATTGGAGATGGTAAAGTAGTCATGTTTGCGTTTTAGAGAGGAAGTGCCTTGAAAATTCTGCTGCTCCATGCACCTATCTCACAGAGCCTTTTCAGGACTCTCTATCATCGCATTGATAAAGGAGAGGATGACAGGTGTCTGGCCGAGAACCAAGGACGTCTCAGTTCTTACCTGGGGTCTTCCTAAACAAAACCTGCTAGTGTCTCCAGAATCCTGAGCCACCTGAGGCAGGGCATCAAGCCTCTCTGAGTCTGTTTTCTGGTGTGTCAGATGTCTAAAAGTTTATTTAATCCGGTAAAATCAGTTTGCTGGTTATTATTTTTTTAAAAAAATAAAGACCACATTAAAAAGAAAATGCCGACTGTATTTCACATAGTGAAAGTATTGTTACCTTGTGAATTTTGCTTTCAACCAGTCATTTGTCCTCAGTGGTGAGATTTGTTCTGAAGAACAAGCATCCTTGGGTGTTTCATCCATGGGTGAGCCTTGTCAGGAGATGGTACAGTGTGCAGCACACTAGGTCAATGCTGTATGCAGCCATATATGTGGCTTTCTCACTGAGCTGTCTTCAAGCAGCATGCTGTATACATGTGGTCTGTGTATATATGTGTGTGGTGATATAGTGTGTACCCCAATATATTGTGTACCCTAATAAACTTGTCTGAGGATCAGAGGACAGAGCCAGCCACTAGATTAGACATAGAGGTCAGGCAGTGGTGGCACACACCATTAATCCTATCACTAGAGAAGCTGAAATCTGTCTGGGTCTCTATGAGTTCAAGGCCACACTGGTTACAGAGTCAGGCAGTGGTGGCACACACCTGTGGTGGTATTGTGTTCCCCAAAATATTGTGTACCTTAATAAACTTATCTGGGGTCAGAGAACAGAAAAGCCACAAGATACTTAGGCTAGAAAATGTTAGCACACGCCTTTAATCCTAGCATTCCAGAGACAGAAATCCCTCTGGATCTCTGTGAGTTCAAGGCCGCATTGGAAACAGCCAGGCATGGTGACTCATGCCTTTAATCCCAGAAAGCAGCCTTTAATCCCAGGGAGTGGTGGTAGAAAGCAGAAAGGTTTATAAGGCGTGAGGACCAGAAACTGAAAGCATATGGCCTGGTTAAGCATTTTGGCTGGTTAAGCATTCAGGCTTCTAGCAGCAGTTCAGCTGAGAGCCATTGGGATGAGGACACAGAAGCTTCCAGTCTGAGGAAACAAGACCAACTGAGGAATTGGCAAGGCGAGAGAGCTGTGGCTTGTTCTGCTTCTCTGATCTTCCAGCATTCACCCCAATACCTGCCTCGGGTTTGATTTTATTAATAATACTCTCTAAGATTCCTGCTACACACGCCTTTAATCCCAGCACTTGAGATCTCATGCCTTTGCTTGAGAAGCACACATGCCTTTAATCTCAGGAAGGGACATGGCTGGGTGGAGAATGGTGTATAAGGCCTGAGGAGACAGGAAATAAGCAGCAGTTCAACTGAGACCCTCAGGGGTGAGGACTCAGAGGCTTTTAGTCTGGGGATTCATAGAAACAGGATTGGCTGAGGAGTTGGTGAGGTGAGGTTGGCTGTGGTTTGTTCTGCTTCTCTGATCTTTCAGCTTTCACCCTAGTGTCTGGCTCCATGTTTTTTGTTAATAAGATCTTTTAAGATTCATGTTACATATGTG